GAGGTCTACCACAGAAGACCACAGATGACCAACAACTGAAGATGTTCAATCGTACAAGTCAAAAGTGACAGAACCTCTGTTGTCTATCACAGAGGTTCTGGAAACTTGTCCTCTGTGAACAAAAGCGTACAAGTCAAGAATGACAGAACCTCTGTTGTCTTTCACAGAGGTTCTGGAAACCGATCCTCTGGCATCAAGAGCTTACAAGTCACATCCAGCAGAGCCTCTRGGATGGCTCACARAGGATCWGCAGTATTATCTTYTGTGAAGAACCTCTTCTCACCGCTTTACTTAGGTTTGTTAGCTGCACGTGCTTATCACGTGACTATGTTTGTAATCTGCTTTATTTGAACGGCTTAGATCATTTCACTTGTCTAGGTCATGTCAGAAAAGCYGTTAGGAACTAGTATTTATAGCAGCTTAGGCCTTTGGAATTGGTGTGCTTCCTGTATTGTAATTGTCAATATTTTCAATAGAATTGAAAATCATTTTGAAGCTATTCTCTCATGTTCTTCATCTTCATTCTACTGTGTGTTCTTAATCCATTACTCTGTTTTGTTCATATAATTGTTTCTGCTGCACTGTAATCGTTCTAAGAGTTCATCCAGAGTAAGTGATTAAATATCAAGCTGAATCTACAGGTCCTAACAATATTGTATGTTTGGAAGAGGTGTTTACGAAGATATGTATTAATCAATAAGGCATGACCTATGTAAACAGAAAAATAAAGGGGTTATTGAACCACATTACTTTTTCATGAGAAAGCATATAAGGATAACAACTCTCAGGTTCTTGCAGATTCATCTTTTGTGCAAAGAACAGAGGTTTGAGATCATGTGAGAACAAATGAGTTTGGTGAGAACATTAAAATTACCTTTATGCCTTTGGATGAGCTTTTATATCTGATGGCTCACAAAAAACATGGACCTTCCACTTTCACCCTCACTCACCTTCACCTACTTTTTATATACCTTCAGTCCTAAACATGCATGAATTTGTTGTTATACAAGTAGGTAATAGTATGCGGAGTTAAATGAAGGTGTGTAAATGCAGGTGGCTAAAGGTTGATGATGGTAGATGAAGCCATGAAGGTCCTGTATTCCTCACCAAAAAAGTTGTTCTCACCGAATCCCAACCTACCAAAAACAATCTACAAGAGTGTCCAGTGTCGAGTCCCTAGTATGGCAGAACGGGGCTCTGGTACCATGTGACAGTATATGGAAACCCAAGATTTTATCTCCAAAAGAGCCTTCAAGGAGAAAAGGGAGGTTTCAACATATATATAGGAGAAATGGTCCAAGTCTAGCCGACGTGGGACTCCACAAACATTAGTGTAACTTAATTTAGACACAATACTGGGCACTTAATTTTGGAAAGACTAAATGATTAAAAATAAGTCCTTTCACAGTTATTATATGGTTCAATTTAAATGAACAACTAAACTCATAAACACGTAATATTAAATGTTAATGTGTAACCCATTGAGATCCTTGCTACCCACTTAATGCATTTCGTTGGTAAGAGTAAAGAAGCATTATGAAGTTCGGTTATCCATATTTAATATAAAACCTGTTTGGGATAATTGCATTGTGTGAATGCAATATTAAAGATTCATGTTAGTTGAAAGACCAGATGAATCCATTGAAATCAAAAGATTTCACTCACTTTCCAGTAACCCGAAGGGATGCCCCTGGCTTGAAGTGTAGTGAATAAGAGTTGAGCTCTTGTAGAATAACCAAGGCACCAGAAGTTATAGTAGTTGATACCATTGAATCACCTACCAATTCACACACACAAAAAGAAGTACAGTATTGCAAGTATCTTGCATTAGAGAAATTTGAGCAATCATTACCCTTGTGTTTCAACATTTTTTGTTTTTGTATTAAAAGAAACACCAAAATAAAATAAAGTTGTTTTTTTTTATATCAAAAAGATAGTGTTTAGGGCCATTATTTGCAAAATGATGCAGGTTACCAACCAAAATTATTTCCAATCAACAACGTAAACATGGAGTCCTAATTAAACATTCAATCATAAGATATAATAGAAAAGCAAAGCAACTGTAGAAACTCCACCATTTTTCTTGGTTGCTACCGGTTAACACTGATGCGACTTATAGCAGGTGGATGAGCTAATTATGGAGATTTCCACAATTAACTGGTCAGAGTTAAGGAAAGAGAGTCTGTATTCATATAATATAGTTTTCAATTACATCAATGAGTTCTATATATATATACCACATATGGTGGTCGTTACTTGAAAATGGTTCGTTGTCGTCGATTTCAAGATGAACACTTTTTCACTTTGTTGCCAGTTCCTTTCCTTTAACGAGATTATGGAGTTCAAAATAACCAATCAAAAAAAAAATAACACATTTATAGTATCGATGATCTTTTCAGATATTCATCAACACTTCAGAAACCTAAAACAAGAAACAAACAAATTGATGTTGAGCTCAAAAACAAACCTTCAATGAAGATTCCATAAAGAATAGTTTCAATGAACCCTTGAGGGGTTAAACTACCTTGTATTACAACCTATACGCCCTTGGAAGGACTTCAAAATAGTTCACAAGCAAGGCAAATGAAACCCTAGATCAAGATTCTAGAACCAAGATCCAGCCCCACAAGGTTGATTACTGGCACCCCAACCAGCCCGCATCCTATGGGGAACGGAAGTTGACTTCGAGGAGGCGATATTTTAATAAAAGATGTATTACAAATAAATAACTTAAGGGGGTTAACTGACTACGTATACAAATAAAGAACTTAAGAGGGTTAGACTGAATATGGATATAGTACAAGATCATAACCACAGGTACACAACAACATCAATATCCAAATTAAGTAACAAACATACCAGGCTTGGAGCAGCCCAACCAACAGCAGCAGACAGAATAGTCATAACCTAGAAATCATTCAATCGACTTTCTAAGGCCTCGATAATTGGAACTAATATCAGAAAAATGGCAAGAGAATAAAACTTACAATTAAAGCTGAAAGGCACCCTGCCAAAACATATTGCCTGGAGTGACGTATCGTCAAAATCTAAAATCACGATCATAATGTGTTGTGAATAATGAAGTTAAATATATATTTCATTGGAAACTCAACATAACGAGTTTAATGGTTTTCCATCAAACAAACTAAAAAAAAGAAAGGAAACAAGATTCCAAAAAAATAGGATTAGCAATGAATGTTTTGTCTCTTAAGTGTAATATTACCTCCATCTCAAATTTTGAGAAATGTGTATATCCATTTTGAAGAAAAACAATGGTATGATTTTGTCTTATTTAATAACATGTTTCAATCTTAAAAAACACACTACACCAGGATTTGGCATAATGGCATCAAATAACATGGTGTAGCTGTTTTCTTGGACAGAAGTAGGTTTGGAACTCTAGAGATGACCAAAAGAAAGTAAAAAAATGTTATCTAAAATTTTAAGGTTCGATTATCACTTGCTTAGATATTATTGTTGGATCAAGCAAGACCTATAACTTAAATCCAATTCCTTCTGATAATTAAACTATACATGAAATAGAATCTAGATAATAAAATTCAAGATTGAATCTGTGATTCATATAGTCAAACTTCTGATTGTTTGCCAATGCTGTTCGAAATCAATAGCATATGATATATGATACCACAAGTGGAGCATTTATCGATTAAAGTTAATTAAATTCGCTACTGAAATCAAATTTCAAATAATACCCAAATGACAAATAAGGTTAATTAATAACAGCTAAACTCACCGCAACTGCGAAAAATGTCTTGTCTCCGATTTCAGAGAGCACAGTTATCGTAAGAGACTTGCTAAACCCCTAATTTCACTAGACACGTTAGAAAAGGCTTCAAATCACCATGCAAAAAAAAAAAACCGTTAAATTGAAATGGAAAAATAGAACTTACTTGAAGAATTGAAAGCGGAAGTTTTAATGAATACCTCCGGAAAATACAGCCATGGATGCCCTCATTGATTTCGAGCCCTAAATTGAGCATAAAGAGGTGATGGTCTGACCCGTGTTGTGGAATTTCTTGCATATAATGGTTATTAATGTAGTATAGATGGATGTTGATGAGAATGAGCGGCCCGAATCAGATGATGAAGATGAAGAGGAGGATGATCCTGGAAGTGGGGAGATCGATGGTGAGGAGAAGGGACCAAATAGGTTGGCTAATGAAGAATATGATGAGAGCGATGCACATATGAAGAAGCAAGAAAAGGAAGAAAAAACATTCTGACCTTACCCAAACTGGTCTCGACAGAAGGGAAATGCTGAAAAAGGAAACCAAGAAAGCAAGGTCTGACTATTGCATTTAAAGTCAATGCATTATGAGTTGTAATTAATAGATTTTTTAAATCATTGCATAAAATGATTGTATTTTGTCCTTAAAGTCTTGTATTTAAGACTTTATCTTAAATGCTTGTTTGTTAATGTAATATAGATATGCCGCATGCATGTCTTGAAAACTCACGACCTTACCATGTCTCATAAAGCCTTTGAGACTTATTTAAAAATTCCAAGTCCACATTACTTAACACATAATATTTTTATTTTTTTTAACAAACGCCGTGGATCCATCAATCTTGTAATTGCACCCTAACCTTAACTAAAGATCGCAATCTTGTTGGTAAATATTACCGTAGAAACGAATAAAAGCATGTGAGTCGGTCCAAAAAAGTGCTGGTTGCGTCTTTTTGAGTGGTTGCTCGCTAGCAATTGAAACCACCGGGTATATTCCTTTCCAATCCCTCCGGCGACCTCTTCCACCCGAAAATCACGCCCTCACCATTCGCTCTTTGTTTCCCCTAAATTAAAGCGATTATATATCCCTTATACCCGTCGCAGGACCACCATTGAATCGTCAAGATGATGATTATGATGGAGCACTCGATTTTTCCGGCCACCGAAGCGCTGTTATGACCACCGCCACATCTACTTCTCTTTTCTCCGATCTTTTATGATTTTCTTCTAAATTATCGTATATATATGCATCCCTTTTGCTGTGTTCCAGCCGATCATAATAATTCCATGCCTGCTACTCCCTCCTCCTCTGCCGTCCTGGGATCGGATTCCTCCAAGCCGATACATATCAACAATAACAACAACCACGATCATAACCACCACGTTGCTTTCAATACGGTGTCCGATGCTGCACGGCAACCGACGATGAGGTTGTCTGGTGGAGATCAGAGAGATGTCAAGATCAATGATATCGTAGGGAATGGGATATCAGGAGTTCTGCATAAGTGGGTTAATTATGGTAAAGGCTGGCGGCCAAGATGGTTTGTRTTACAAGACGGCGTGCTTTCCTACTATAAGATTCATGGACCTGATAAGATTGTGGTTAGTAAAGAGACTGAGAAAGGGTCAAGGGTCATCGGCGATGAGTCTTTCCGCCGTTTGTCTCGTCACCGTAATTCCGTCCTTAATATTACCAACTCTCATCGTCCCCACCGCAAGCCCGTCGGTGAAGTCCATCTCAAGGTCAATTCAGTTACCCTTCTGAAAAATTTCATTACATTTCAGTGATCACCCATCATCACAAATCTATCGATCGCAACCTATCTTTGCGATTTGCTTTGACGCCTAGCGGTTTTCCTTGATTAAAGAAAACAAAGCCTATTGTTTCTATGTAATTTGGGACGTGATGCTGTTTTTGAGTTGGGCTTTGGTGGCAATTTCAATTCTCTGACCATACATTGTAGATTTATGTAAAAGCTTCTATGTCGGAGCAATCTGCCTGTTCTGATTTCTGTTGGTCGGACTTTCTTGAACTTGTTTTCTTTATTTTCTACTTGATCTATCTACAAGAATTTTGTGAATTCCCTCTTTGCTTTTGTATTTGGATTCAGTATTCATTCTACATCAGCTTGAAGGAGGTCAAAAACCTCTTTCAACTTCACAGTTCCACTGATGTTTTTATTCTCTATGGTGAGAACTTGTTGGTTGAAACTGTTCTTTTAAATATCTATGAATATCTGTTTGTCTATGGTCCTGCAAGTCAAATTTGCGATATAAACATGCAAGGGGGATTCATATTGTGCATTCACTCTGTGGTATACGGGGTTCTAAACTTTGTCTTATAAGTTATTCCATTTGAATTTGATGGTTTTGCATATTACTTTTCTATGTACTGCACATCATGAGTTTGTTTCCTGCTACATTTTCTAGGTTTCATCCATTCGTGAAAGTAGATCAGATGATAAAAGATTTTCCATTTTTACGGGAACAAAAAGGCTGCATTTGAGGGCAGACACTAGGGATGATCGAATTGCATGGATGGAAGCTTTGCAGGCTGTGAAGGGCATGTTCCCTCGAATGTCTAACAATGAATTAATGGCTCCTGTAGGCGGCATTTCAGTGTCAACAGAAAAGTTAAGGCAAAGGTTACTGGAAGAAGGTGTAAGTGAGGCAGCCATCCAGGACAGCGAACATATTATGAGGAGCGAGTTTTCAGCAATGCAAGATCAATTAGTGCTTCTTAAGCAGAAGCACCTGCTTCTCATGGATACACTGCGAATGCTAGAGGTACATGTAATATCTCATTCAGGAAAAAAGTGTCCTACTAATTTGGGTTTACTCGAGTTTCTTTGTATTGAAGTTCTCAAACCTTTTGTGTTTGCTAATTCCGCACATGACTTATTTCCAGCAGGGATGTAGGTTATCATCTGTTAATCTTATTGGCTTGGTAGGTCATAATTTTTGTTTCATTTGGATTTGTATAGATGCAGGGTTGAGGAAAGTGTACTTTAATTCCTTTGGGTGACAATTGACATGAACTGAAATTGTTCATGAACTCCCTATTACATTAAATATTCTTACATAACTCATGTTTTTCTAGTACCCGATTTATGTTCATTATTAGGTAGTGACTATATCAACACCTGTCTTTGATTTTGATCTTTATCTGCCATTTAATTCCGTGTTCAACCACCTCCTACTCCAGTTCTTGTTAATTCTTGCTTCCACTTGCTAATAATTTAATAATATTGTAATTCATGGTGTTATCGACACTCTTCCTGACTACTGCATTCTTGGTGTACCTTGTCTAGGTTAGGCTATTCAAACCGTGATCAATTTTGATTCCTTCTGTCTGTTGATCTTGGCTCAGCTATTGCTGAAAAAAATGTGAATAGGTTAATCAAACAATACAGATTTACTGTTGAAGTCTCCGGTCAGAATTTATAGGTTAAGTACAGATAGCCTCTAAATTTCTTGCTTTAATGTTCTAATGTTCTTTTCTGTTTTTATTTATTTATTTTTTTGCAATTCCATTTGCTTGCCAGAAAGTGCATACATGGAGTTGTTGCAATTGGGGGGGGGGGGGGACATTATTGCTCTTCTTCTCTAACTCATATTAGAGTTCCAACTGATCCGTGGTCATGACCTTATCTTCTTGAGGCTATAACTTTCTTGCTCTAGGCCCCAAAATGCATATATGCTGTTGGAAAGTTTATATTATGTAGATTATTTCTATGGTATCAAATCATCAATTGATCTATCATGCATGCATTAAATTGAGGTAGAAACTCCAAGAAACATGATTTCATGAATGAAAAAAGCAATATCTTGAAAACCACAAGAGTCTGATCACAACTTTTAGTCGGTCATTTCTAATCAGAGACGTACATATCTTTGTCATTTAAACCAAAAAAAACAGGTTTTAGGTTATTCATAAGCCTCTCTTTATTAAAGGTTAGCATGCAATGTTAAGAAGCAGCTAGATTGAACAATTAAAATAGGAACAAGATTGAAAGACAACTGGCGGATGCTTGAAAAGTAAGGTTTCTGGCTATTCGAGAGGCTAGAGCTCTCCTATGAACATGCTATAAATATTTTTCTGGATGATTTTCTCACTCCCTCTCTTCCTTTTTTTTTACTGCTCTAAAAACCCTGAATTACTCTATCTAGAATATAACCTCTTGGTGGGCGTGGGCTTAGGCCGGTGCATAACATTACCCTGCCCCCACAAAGCCACCTTGTCCTCAATGTGGATGGGATCTTCAAATCAGCCTTCCATGCTACTTCATCTCCCCACCCAACTGCAAGTAGAGACAAAACTTCCCAAATCAGCCTCATTTCACCCATTCTTTTCAAAGCCAAAGTCGAAGTCAAAAGGTTTTCAGCAAGTCTTGCCATTTCTGTTATTCTACCAACTTATAGACTCGTTCTGGTTTTCTTGCCTCAAGCTACTCTCTACATCACCAGATTTAACAACCAGCAAATCGTTCTTAAACAACAGTTTTAGATAGGAAAGTAGTCTATGAAGCACTTGCAAGGCTGTAAAGTTGTCGCCCATCCAAGCCACAACAATGCATACTTTAAGCATAGGGCTAGTGCTGAATATTGGAAGTTTAGGATATCTCAAACTAATATGTGTGAGGACGAGTCCATATGCATCTACCGTGTTACGAACTGGAATAGCTTCCTTTGTTGTATTGAGATTTCTAGCTATAACATCCTTGGTTGGCTCATCCTCAGAGAGTGTTAAGCGCACGTGAATGGTGGCTCATTGAGAAGCTTTGACTATCTCAGGACATCGGGACAGGGCCTAATGTCCCCCGTGTTAACCCTCTTCCATCCCGATATGATTCTGATCTCACTACAAATCCCATGTGTGCCTTTCAAAGCGATAACAACTTGAGATCTCCACAAGATCTTTACTTGAATTTTGAAGTCATCCAGGACCTTTTCTTTTGGTTTTTCGGAAAAGTAAACTTCGCCAAAGAGGGTTTATAGAGTTCCCTTGAAGACCGCTAAACAAAATACCCCTTCTAGTGCTTTTGATCCCAAGGATTTTTTGTAGACAATGACGATTAGGAAGGGGGGCCTTGTATGAATCATATGTAGTTCTTTCATGTTATTTGACCTAATCACACGACCATTATAGAGACAGAATCACAGAGTGTTTCACCTGAGATGGACGAGTCGTATACACAAGTCCCTTCCCAATTCATACCTAGGTAAAATTTGACCAACAACTATAATCGCAGATGTTGGACGATTGAACCTTCTTGTTGAGAGAATGGCCTTATCAATTGCAGGAATGGAACACAAATGCATTTGGCCAACCAGTCTTGCACCAATCTCACACAAGTGATCTAAAACTTCACTTGAGGTTCCAAAGTACGAGAACAATGGTTAAACAAGATCAGATCCCAATAATCCCAATTGCTAAACAAGATCAGATCCCCCAATTTCCCCATAAGCTATTTCCCATGGTTCTTGATTCCATTCAGCTTTACTGGTGCCCTAGCATCTACAAGATCTTCATAAGAACTCATCTCTTTTCTCGTTTTCATAAGTTACAAAACCATAGGATGATTTAAACTAGAAATTTTAGCATAATCTTTCTTTGTTTTACCTCTAACTGCTATAGCAGTGTTGATTAATTACCATCATCAACAATGGCATGGTGTCTATAAATCTCTACCGTCGTTTCTTGAAGTAGATTTGCAATAGGATCAATATAACAAATTTCATCTGAGTTCCTGGTCTTGGATGTTACGATAACACAGTTATGGATGTAGCTCCATGGTTGGAAGCAATCATCCAGACTGACAAGCACGATGATGATGCAAGATGTGTCCTCCAAAAGAACTATAGCAGAAGCACCAAAAACATGGGAACCATCACCGGTCAATGCAGTCATTAAAATATTAATCACTCTAATAGTTTTTCGCCTCAATCGAAACCCCTCCATTTACGTTGCGCTACCTTTGTTTTCCAGATTCTTGATCCTTCACACAACGTTCCTACTCTTAGAAATTCTTGATCCTCTTTCACACTCCATTTGTCTCATTTTTTTTATTGAACAATAAAAGAAAAAGAACCGAATTTATAATATTTAGTTCCATCGCCAGGTAAAATGGAAAGGCAAATAAAGGTCTTCTTCTCTAAGCAGTTAACACGGTTGATAGCGGAAATCATGGTCCGGACCTTGATTTGAGATAGCGGTTATCGCGATGGTATATGGTGGTATAGCGGTAAAAATAATTATGTTCATAAAATATATATGAATATATATGAAACTCAAAATATTATATGCCTAATACATGTCAAGTCAAACAAGTCAAACCACACAAGCAACATAGTAATAGAGTTTATAAATAACTGCAATCCACAGGCTCGACATCTGAATTGACATCATTTACTACATGATTGTTAGTTTAGTCTTCAGCAGTTGGGGGAATCAAAGATGGACGGTAGAATAAATATTGGAGTAGGAATGGTCGAGCAGCGGACAGGGTTGTCAGGCTGTGAAATTCATGTGGACTTGAGCAGGAGCTGCGGACTCGAGCGTTAATTGAGCACGAGCTGTAGAGTGTGGACTAGAGCATGGGGGACCTATTAAGATGGCCACAAGGGTCGACTTTGTATCCAACTTCCACATCCAAGGGGGACCTATTAAGAGCCGAGCAGGCTCCCATGCACCCACTAACTCTTTTACTGTAAGAGAAAATTTAGGCGCCTAAAAGGTGCACCTGATTGATTTTAAGGGTGCTCTCATATATTTTGAGACCAGATTTATAGTGGATATCAAATTGTGAGATACAATTGGTTGTAAGTTCAATTCCTACATCTAGCAAATATTTAATTGTTGATCTTTTGAATTTTGCCTCCCCGCGCCCGTGGCCCTACAAAATATTATTACTAAAAATACTAGTAATAAGTATACATCTACAAGGATCGAACTCGCAACCTCAATTATAATTATAGACTTAACTTATAACCACACCCTTCTTGTTTATTGCTCTCCCATTTTGATTTTATTACTTTTCTTCATGATTTATTTCTTTTTTCATTGCAAATTCATCTTAAAAGTCGTTTTTTATCTCGTTTTCAAGGCAACATATATTTATTTCAATGGTTAAGGTCAATTCCATCTGAAACATGTATTTTGTTCCCCAAATCGACACAATTGACTTTTACCCGGGTCAAACCGTGTTGACTTTCCCCCAGGTCAAACCGCAGTTTTATGGATTCAGCTTAAAGGTGCACCCACTAAAAAAAATTCCTGGGTCCGCTACTGTCTATATCTCATACACTATTGATGATCCACTAGAGCTATGCTGTTAATTGCGCCCAAAGCGGTACTATTGCGGTTCGTGGTCAAGGGACAAATAGCGGTGGTCAAATGGTGGTCTGGAATAGCGGTCCCACGATTAGCGCTGCTATTGAACGCTAAATGACCTCATTCTAAACGCAAAAAAGCTGCCCCATAACCGCTATTTGTAGATAGGCGATTTTGGTGTTAAAAGAGTAATCTTGTGGGCTTCTATTTTGGACCTGCAATAGATTTTATTTTAGTCTAACAATACAGAGCTTCATTTTTCTTACTTTCTTGGACTTAGACACCATTATTCTTATTCTTTTGAGTTTGGACACCATCACTTTGACCTCTGGCTTTGAATAAAAGCATTCACATTGTTCAATTGTTTTATTTGGACTTGGACATCATTATTCCTATATATTTTTTATTGAATACATATCAGATGTCGAGTTATGATGCATCTATAAAATTCTAGTTATTATATGAACCGCTATTTTTGGACCGCTATACCACTGCTTTACCATTGCGATAACCGCTAATCACGGTCTTGACCCGCAATTTCATGTTTTGACCGTTGTAACAGCATAGCTCTGGAGGGAGAGAGGAATTCTTGCATACATTACATTCATTTGATGAGGGAGGACATTAGCATGTAGGAGATGTATATCACATAAAATTGTTATAAGAGATAATGCCTTATCTCTTCAACTGAGATATGTAATCATTTTGATTCTATTTCAAATCTTTTAAGTAACAACATAATTATCTGTTAGGATTTTCATGCCTCATGTCGTCGGATCTAGGGTTTGGGATCGCTTTCACTTGATTGGCCCCCAAATATCAGAAAGCCTGACACGTTTGATATATATGCTAAATTTGAGGAGCGTTAGATATATGGGTTATTAGCATTGATATTTCTGTTTTGGGGGGTTTCTATCTCTGCGTTGGCCCATGATATTGTTTTTCTCCCTCAAAGATATTCTTCTGGGTTTCTTTTGTTTAACACATCTCTTGTGTTTGTTGGATGGGGCGAGCCTTGAAGCAACCGGTAAGGTTGCTTCATTATGAGTGCAATATCACAGGTTTGAGTCGACCATTTTCTTTGCGAAAATGTAACACAAAGTTGCACAAGAATATTTCATTCCCCAACCTTGCAAAGCCGAGGAGCCTTGTTGCATTGTGGTCATCCTTATTATTTGTCCAGTCTAACGTCGGTTCTTTATTGCAACATCTGTTTCTTTTCCTCAATGTAGTATCAGTATGACTACCTTCCGGTACTTTATCAGTATAGAGCCTTCTATTCTTCCATTTGTTATACACTTCTACAAGTTATTTTTCTTTTTACAAATTAAATATAACACTATTATCTTTTGTAGGAAGTACTATTGTATTTATACTCTTAAATGTATGATGTATGGTAGTAGTAAAACGAAAAGACTCGAATGATTTGTACTACATTTAAAATCATTTTCATGTTTCGGTAATTTGCTCTCTGTTGCTTGTAGACAGAAAAGGTTGATCTCGAGAACACAGTAGTAGATGAGAGCCAAAGGCAGTCAAAGGAGGTTGGGGCAACTTCGAGACTAAAGCAAGAGAAATACAGTGGTAGGCTTGCGAAGTCGTTTTATTTGACTCTAATTGATTCCGTTTTCACTCTTTGACATTTAACAGTCTTTTTTTCCCTACAAGGTATATGATGATTTTATTGTTCGTGTTGGTAGTCTAGGAAGGCCTGACACAACCCAGGATATCTTTCTGTGGATTGTGGATGTGTGTCAATAAGGATATGCTCCACCACAAATCTGAAAAATGGCTGCTACATTAGTAGTAAATGAAAGAAGTTAGGACCCACATCTAAATTGTCAAAAGTATTGTGTTACATTTTTTTCTACAACATTAGTCATCCGATTTTAAGCAAATTAAAAGCTGTCATATTAAAATAATTTGACTGAATAAACATTAAATAAGGAGAGGATTTGCAGCTCCATATACTATGCTATAGAAGTAAAATGCTGATGGATCCATCAAAGATAGGTGATGGAAAACACAGGAATAGTGAAAAAGGTCGGAGTTTCATGCATTCAGGAGAGTTGGTGCATGGGTGCACAATCTAGCAAAATCCAAGCACGGATTAAGAAATCCAGAACTATCATCTCGCGTAGGCTAGTCTATCACCTTGATTTGTTTCATCATGATGTTTTCTTGTTATGACTTAGAGGTCCAGCAATTTTAGCTGATAAAAATCACGTCTGCTATTCACTCTATGCAATGAAAAGTTCATGGGCCATAGATGTTTAGACTTTTGGGAGGCTTAAATTCAACCATGGAAGGATTACATTTGATAGCTGGTAATCACATTCAAATTTGTAAAGTTCTGTAATAGGCACAATTGCAATAGTTTCTAAGGATGCAAAGCAATTATTATACACAAGGAAATTGATGTATGATGTCATCTTCTAGGCTATACGCTCCTCTTTTAGATAATGGTTTCTATGTTATTCGTGCCTTATCCTTGCCATATTTATAGATGGCAATTTTTCTCAACTAGTTTGTATGTATTGATCATATATAGCTTTTTTAACTGCTAAAGTGAACTCTCTATGAAAAATTTGAAGAATATATAAATTTCTCTGCTGCCTTCCCACTTCTATTTGACATCTTCTGTTATTTGCCAGAAGCAAGTGCAAGTGAATCTGAAGATGATAATGATAGAGGAGATGCTGCAGAAGAAGAGACTGATGACGAAGACAATGCATTCTTTGACACTCGGGACTTCCTGTCATCTGGTTCTTTTCGAAGTACCGGGTCCGACATGCGATCATCTTCTTTTTCATCTGATGACGAAGACCTTCAAGTTAATGAATCAGATATTGATGCTTCCATTAGATCAGTTGGTACTAACTTCCCTCGTGTTAAGCGGCGGAAGAAGTTGCCTGATCCTATTGAAAAGGAGAAGGGGGTAAGTCTTTGGTCAATGATCAAAGACAACATTGGAAAAGATCTTACCAAAGTGTGTCTTCCTGTATACTTCAATGAACCTCTATCCTCTCTGCAAAAATGTTTTGAAGATTTGGAGTACTCTTATCTTCTTGACCGGGCATATGAATGGGGCAAAAGGGTGAGTATTTTTCCATATGTATAATTTTTATATAAAATCAATTTACAATGAGAAAGAGGGTACTTTTCTAAGACTCCTTGAAATGTTATTTTAAAAAATTATGAGTCACCGAGTAGATTTTTCAATATGGTCAAAGAGTTATTTGTTATTTTGAACTACCTGGTATATTACTAAAATGCATCAATAAATAATGATAAAATGGTTGGCAAAATGGGAAAGACAAAATATTATTTAGAAGGGAAAATTTGCACTGAAAGGAACATTCTTTCTTCTGGTTCCAACTTTGAGAATCCTACTTCCTTAAGCTCTGTTTTCTGTCTACAAGGCCTCTGAAACAAAAAGTTATAGTAATTTTGTTTCAAAAGTGATTTTTTGTTCACGAACTTATAATGCGTTTTTCTCGTTACAAAGTTATAGTAAGTTCCCTCAATTGCATCAAAGACATGGTACGTTCGTCCGAAATGGAGTTTGAAAGCAGGTTTCCCAAAATAGGAAATCATAAGAAAGGACCTTTAACTCTGATACAATTTGTTCTATTTTGAATGTCTCATGTTCGAACTCCATAGAACATTTTATGCTCCCATAAATCGACCAAAATGCCTAAATGTCTTGTGAGTATGAAGTTAGAATAGCTGTACTTAGTTGTACTACTGCATCACAGCACTTTGTGGATCTCATCATGCACTCGGTCATTCCTTACTTATAAGTTGCCTAATATCTGCTACACATAATATATGATGTTAGCCTATATAACTATGGAAATCCGATAATTTTATTGTACAAAAATATGGATGGGCGCCACATAAGTTACATTAATTTCAATTGCCATTTGCTAATCTATGGATCATGTCATCTGACGTGAGAGGAGAGTTTTGTATGCAATTTGTAGTCATGGAGAAATTTTCCAATCTGTTCTCTAATTCATATTCAAATTTTCTTTGACCTTAAAAGTTGTAGAAAATACATTGATGTTTGATTATCAGGCGGGAAGTATTATTGTTAACCAAATAAATGATCGAGGTTACCTTAAAAGGATTAATTTTCATCATATGATCACTTAATGATATCGTGGCTATGAGTTCTAGTTAAATATGACGAAGGATGAGTGCATATACAACTACTTTAGTGTTGCAAGTTATGACATTGAGGGACCATATATCTTATAACCGGAACACCCAACTACTTTGTGTTCTCAGTATTATAGTTAATGCCCGATGGAAGAGAGATTTGTTAGGCATTAGTTCTTGGATGTGAGGGTTATGCATGCAAATAGGGCATGACCTGAAATATGTACGAAATGGAGGGAACAATGCTCTTTTTGCTCTCTGAGGCTTATCATATCGTACCATTGTTATTAAGTGTGGCAGTGAAGATGAAGGATGAATGGGATGGAAAGGCAAGTATGGATGTGGATATTTGTAGATAGTCTGAGGTAGGGTGATAAATGAAAGAGCAAAAGGATAAGAGGAAACACAGTTGATAGAAATATAACGGGTGTAAGCTTTTTACTAGTAGCTTTGATTAGCTTTGGTAGGAAGCAGTATGATCAGCATACTTAAAGCTCTTCTCTTGAAAACTGACTCTCATGATGAACCCTCTGATGTATTTGTGAGTATATACTGCAGCGTGAGTCTAAAGCTGAAAATATTATAAAAATCGAAGATGGAGGTAATCCCCTAAATCAATTAAGCTCCTTGAAGTCAGGTTATGTAAATTCCGTCATCCATATTCTTTATCTCCCATAATAAACTGCATATCTGTTTAGTATTGCTGTTTTATACTCCCCACACTTTTAACAATAGAAACCATCTGTTTAGGCAGCTATAACGTCAATGATGGTTTTGGAGGGTTACATCATTGGTGATGATTGACGATGCCTTCATCTGTAATTATGTGGCTGTGATTGAGTATGTGAATGCTACTATGTTGTTCATGTACAATGATTGGGGTAGTTTGGCAAATAGTTATAACAACGCACTAGTAGGCAGGGATAGTCATATTTGAGTGGTATATCGGATGAAAGCTTTTGTTGATTAGTGTCGAGTCAGATGGGACCATTTATGATTGTGGTGGCCTGGTGCCAGTGACAGCAGAGGCATGGTGGTAAGTTAGAGTGATAATATTGATGTTTGATACGGTAAATAAACTGAAGCATTGCTAAAAATAAGTATGAAATTCATCCCTGGACGAGGGTGGCTAATAGTTCTTTGATACATGATCACATTGAAACATCGTCAGCAATTTTCTTGCTAGAGTTAGGAATGAGAAGTTATAGATCACATGGAAACAAGACTAGTGGCCTATATGATCTTGTCAAGCTAATAGATGAGATTTCGTTACTCATGGATAAAATGGAAGTAGTTACATAAAACATGTGTACACGAATGAGGAGAAAAAAATATGCAGGTCTTGTACATAATGAAGTTGAAGCTCTAAATGTGGATTTAGAAAATTTTCTTCCTCATCAATGGACGTTAAATATGGCTGATCCCGCATGGTGATGCTTAGATGTAATGATAAAGCAGGGCATCACTTGAATTGCTATATTTGATCATAATTTTTTTAACATAAGCCTCGGATATGTGAAGCTTGAAAAGCCCTGGATTTCAGGATTTTGTTGGACACGAGAACTTAGTACCTCCTTTCAACCAAATTTTTATTGTGGACTTCCTGCTTGTTGGTCTTCCTTTTCTTTTCATATATACCTCATATACATCTGGTCATCTTCTGTTAATAATTTATCTCTTGTTTATTTGTGTATTTATCTGATTATTTAATTGAATGACTGCTACAGACTTCTTTGCTTTGAGTCTCACCCCTTTTATTATCAAATCTGTTTTAGGGTAACAGCCTTATGCGGATTTTGAATGTGGCTGCATTTGCTGTATCTGGATATGCTTCTACTGAAGGAAGAAACTGCAAACCATTTAATCCATTATTAGGGGAGACGTATGAAGCAGACTATCCAGATAAAGGGCTTCGGTTTTTTTCTGAGAAGGTTTACTTCTTATCTTCACATGAATCAATCTTATCATGTGTCATTTGCTCAGATCAATAGTTTTACACGACACATGATCAATATAGCTGTGTACCATCAGATATAAATCATTTGCACGACAAGTGTACCTCAAAAACAATTTTTGCTCTTAATGGAAGTCTTACCATTGTAATCACTCTTAAACTTGGAGCAGAATGGGTGGTGAACTTTAGTTCCCATATACACTAATCTTATTCACGAGGTCCTGTAATGCATCATACATTATTAGCTAATAGTTGTTCTCTTTTTTCGTCTGCCTTAGGAAAAGAGGGGACTTTTTAATGGGAAGGACATCTGATACAAAATTCTAAAGATAGAAAAAAATTACATGAGGAGGAACTCCAAAGACCGGGGATAATAGGCTAAAATGACAAAAAAGATGATTGTGACTTTTACGAAACCCAAACTTTGCTTTGACATTATGATTATCGATCATAAAGTGAGCCATTGTTTGGTTATTAATAAATTTAAACTAAACCCTACTTAGTTTTGACATTATGATTATCGATGAAAAAGTGAGTCATTGTCCCGTTTTTAATAAATTTAAAAGATATGTTGGATGGGAAGAACCCTCGTGGATGAAAATAATTGAAGGGTTAAATAGGAAGAGGAAGGTGTTACGTGATAAATTTAAAGATAGGCTGAAAGACTGTGAGCCAAATTTATTTAGTTCTTTTTACCTATGTATATATACTTTCCTCTCTATTTAGATGGTAACGATAGGAGAGACAAAAATTAACTGCAGAGAAATAGTAAGGTTATTGTTCGAAAGACATAATCGTATAAAATTTTAATTTAAGTTTTTGGTTTCAGGTGTACTGTTAGACCATTGGCCGATTCTCAAGGTTGAGACTAAAGAGATAGTGTGTGGTCATGGTTGTGCTAGATTTGCTTTCTGAACATATTAAATCGCTGCTTTTATCATGCTCTTATTTCTGATTGTAATTTTTCACTTTGTGTTTTATGAAACATATCAAGATAGGGCTTTTTACCTGCTTCTTAACACCTCTTACCCAGTGATTACCCAGTGAGAGGTTCTTACCCAAGTAAGAGATTGATGTTTACCAAAACAAAAACAAAGTTCTGACTAGTCACCATGCTCTGACCATGCTACGTCTAGAGACAGAACTGAAAATGTGTCCATCCAGAGACAGATGAGTTTTCCCTTACTTACCCCTTGCAGTCACCAACACTCCTGTCGATTTTGGAAAAATGGGAGCAACTACAAGAATCACAACCCTATCTTTATCTTCTACCTCCATCATCCATCTCTTCTTTTCTCCTCTCTTTTCCCAAAATCCACCCGTCTCAATAGAGTTTAGGGCTCTCTCCCCCACTGCTGCCGCCGCCACAATCTATATTACAGAAGAATCCTCTTTGAACACTCTTCTTGAACGCCTCAGAATCAAGCATCTCAAAGACTCGACGAGGAGAAAACTTTGGGGTTTTCCAAGAAATATAACAAGGAGAAAACTTTGGTGTCTTTGGAATTGGAGTTCAGAGGAGATGTTTTGGCTACTTTGAAGGAGATGGCGTTAGTTAATGCCAACTGGGATGGGATTGGTATCACATGTCCATTGATGATAGGTTTACTATATGGGGATATGTGATGTCTTTCATGAAAAAGTGTGGTTTGAATGCTTAAAAATATTATTTGGTTTAAATTATCTAAATTGTAATATGTTACATATATGTCGAGTATTAATATAATTCATAAGTAGAATAAGATTCAATAATATATGCAAAACTTTGGTAAGGAATAATTTTTGCTGAGTACATAATACAAAATATTTGGTAGATAATAATTTTTGGATAAAACTACTTTATATAGAAGCGTACAATGGTTATTCTTACTTAGTCGGTACTTGGTATAGAACATTTTGGTAAACAACAATTGTAATCAGAGCACTTACCTGAATCAGCACTTACGCATATAATTTGGTAAACAGCCTCATAATATGTTTTTAACATCTTAGTTTGTACTAACTTCTATGGTTTAATGTGTGAATGCTGCATTTGGTAATATTTATATATTTGCTTCATTAAATTTTAATATTTGTCATGAGAGAGCCTCCTTTCAAAAATGTGCATGTTTCCTACCACTCTATACACTATATATATTTTTTCTTCTTAAGGGACAGGGGAATGTCTTTTCTTTGGTGTGGAATATTCTGTTGAACCCTTCCAATTACTTGGTTTACTTATGCAACAGGTTAGTCATCACCCAATGATTGTAGCATGTCATTGTGAGGGTACAGGATGGAAATTTTGGGGAGATAGCAACCTGAAAAGCAAATTCTGGGGTCGTTCAATTCAGCTTGACCCTGTTGGGGTTTTAACTCTGCAATTTGATGATGGAGAAATTTTTCAGTGGAGTAAGGTACTGCATAAATGTTTATCGAATTTCCAATCTGTATGAGATTAATCTGATGTTGACTCTTCTTTCAGGTAACAACATCCATATACAACCTTATTTTGGGCAAGCTATATTGTGACCACTATGGCACTATGCGTATCCAAGGGAACCGCAGTTATTCCTGTAAGCTGAAATTCAAGGAACAGTCTATCATAGAGCGTAACCCGCATCAGGTTTTTCTATTTCTGCCATTGTTCTCAAGAGTTTACCCTCCTAGTTTATAACAGCAAAAGTAGGCAGGAGGCCTCTGTTTTATAATGGATTATTGTATGTGTTAGTGTATCACCATGTAGTGCCATAAAAAGTAAATAGCCCTCCGATAGTGGTGGGGTTTCTATTTCTTCTTTTCCAATTGGCTGGGGAGTCAAATGACCATTTATTTCTTCAAGAGGTCATTTGACTTCCCAACCATGAAAGCTAAAAATAATTGTACATTATTTCTTCAAGAAGACACTTGTATTCAATACAAATGAGATTTCATAATAAAAGCAGATAGGTTCCTTCAAACTTGAAAAAGATAGAATATGCATGCATCTCCTGCTATGTACTTTAAAAACACAAAAAAGGTAATAATTAAACTTTAACGGGTCTCTCTTAATCATGTTATGGCATTTCGTTACTAGTTTGAACATAATGAATAATCTTGAATGATTCAGGTACAAGGCGTTGTTCAAGATCATGCTGGAAAGACTCTGGCAACTTTAATTGGTAAATGGGATGAGAGCATGCATTATGTGAATGGAGACTGTTCTGGAAAGGGAAAAGGTGACCCGTATTCGGATGCTCATTTGCTCTGGAAAAGGAGCAAGCCTCCAATGGTTCCCACAAGATATAATTTAACGCGTTTTGCTATTACCTTGAATGAGCTTACCCCTGGACTAAAGGTATAATTATTACTTTGTTCTGTTTTTTTTAAGATGAGGTTTGTAAGCAATGTTTATGTATGACCTTCTAAAGTTGGTTCATTTTGGAAAGTCTCTTTTTTCTTGTTGTGATGTTTTCTTTATTTCAGGAGAAGCTTCCACCAACTGATTCACGGCTAAGGCCAGATCAAAGGTGTTTAGAGAGTGGGGAATATGAAATGGCCAATTCCGAGAAGCTAAGACTAGAGCAGCGTCAGCGACAGGTACACCTTTAATCTGTTTTCTTTCTTTCTTTTTATTGCCATGGGTTTGCTTGGTTGGTTGACCGTGTGCGATTCAGGCTCGGAAAATGCAAGAGAGGGGGTGGAAGCCACAGTGGTTTGCAAAGGATAAAGGAAGTGATAGTTTTGTTTATACAGGGGGTTATTGGGAGGCCAGAGAAGAAGCCAAGTGGGATTCCTGTCCAGACATTTTTGGACAGTTTTCTTCTTCAGATCAGACGTTAGATTAAGAGCAACAATTTTCAAGATATTATTTATTCATAGGTCTTGCTTCCTTCTTTTAGAGTATCTTGTGTTTTCTGTACTCTTTTTACCTTGTGTATTTTTGGTTGCTTTTATTTGGTCCTGTAGTTACCTCCATGCGGCCCCTCATTCATGGTCCTTTTTATTTCTTATACATACGTACATACTCCATTTGATATTGACATGCCATAAAGGTCAGATTCATCACCTCAATTATCAAAAATACTTGGGCTATTTGAATTTGTTTAATACCCACGTGATGTTGGCCCTTACAATTTTGTTTTAGGCATTGTCAAGCCCATGACAAGGAGCGAGCTTGCTTGCGATCAATTACATGTTGGCTTGAAAAGCTCTTGCGGGGCTCAAGTTTTTGGACGCTGAACCACTTTAGATTGTGGCTAGTAAAAACCATAAAGGTTGCATACATTACATTGGGGGTCACTGGGTTGGTTAAGAGGTGGGATGGCAGAAAGCCTTGCATCTCCATGTTTCATTTTTGTCTTTATTATTTTATTGGAAAAATAGTAAAGCGATGGATTATTTATATGTATCTATTAAATAAAGTAATGATGCTGGCCATGATTCACAGGAATATGTTGTAATCTTAGATAAGAGTGGGGAGGGTTACCGTTGTAAAAAGTTGATTGGTGAGACAAAGAAAACGAAGACACCAAGTCTGTATTTCATCCGTCCATACATACACTGAGAGCACCTTCAATAGATTCGGAGAAAATAAAGATTTTAGGTATGTTTTCTACTTTAAGATATTTCTATCAAATGGAGAAAAGTAGGAATGTAAAAAATCTTTCAAATTTGGAGTATCCTGAAAATGATTACAAAGAGAGAAATTCTATTAAATATATTTTATCAATAAAAAACTAAAAATAAATATTTAGAAAGAAAATGTATTTTATTAAATAAAATAAATATGTTAATAATATAATTAATATTGTGATATTTGAAATAGAGACTTTTGTAACCTTTTGACATATGATGCAATATAAAGATGTTTCTTTTTGAGATTTTCTTTTTTTAGCTTTTTTCCAGTCTTCTACGCAGGTTTGAGTCTTTTTCTTAGATTTATTTTTATTATTTTTTGACTTTTTTTGAAAGTCTTATTTTTTTTGGGGTATAAGAGCATCTTCAATTTTTACCTTCTAGATTCAGGTTAATGTAACACACTCAATTCTGAAAAGAACGACCAACTTAAAATTTTCCTACATTAAATAAAGGATGAATCCATTTCTTAATAATCAATGCTTGAATTACCTCAAATAACAAATCTATATTGAACATCAACAATAGGTAAACCAAACTTTACCCAAGTCTATATTTAGGGGCGGCGTTACTAAGCCTAACAACGGTCGCTATCTACACAAATGAAAGATATCATCAGATAACTAATTCCTTTTTTATGCCTCTAACTAGCACGAATCTCGTCAAAGTGTCACTAATATCATTTACCCCAAGGACCTGATACACATGCCGACAAAAGAAAAGAGGTTAGGCTTAACGCCTAGTGAGTTCGAGCAGAGCAGTTTTCATCAGTCATATGAAATGGGAAAACAAACAGAGTGTTATTTAAATCACAATTTTCAAGGTGAAATTATATTTAAAATAAAAAGCAATATGTTTCCTAAAACCCACCATTTTTAAAACACATTAACCAAAACACCATCAACATGAAACCAAAACCCAATAATCACACAAAACGTGATTGATGATTAATATCCAAATAACGAAATAATGAATAAAAATCTATTATCCAAAACATTAGTACATGGATACCAAAACCATAAATTATAATTACTCTTCAAACTCAAATCAACACTAAAACATGGATAGTACTATCCATGGATAACACCTACAGTGACGGGGGACATCTGTATTCGTTGAAAGTGGTGAGCACAAAGTAAGCGACACATCAACGTTATCAAGTATCACTTCAAGATTCAATTGACCTTAATGTCAATCCAAACGATAACACCTCATGTGGAAGAGTTCTTAGTGCCTACCCCCGCGGCTAGTACCTCAAGACTCAATAATCTTAATGCCTACTCTTTGGAGTAGCACCTCAAGGATCATGACCTTATTGCCTACCCCATCAGATAACACCTCAAAGCGCATGCTTCTTAGTGCCTACCACTTTGGGCACCACTTCAAGACTCAAATCCTTAGTGCCCACTCAACTAGGGCGACAACCTCAAAACAAGGACCCAAAGTCCAACCCTGCAATAACCACGGTCTCAAAGTCCAACCCTGCTATACTAATACAACTACTAACATGAGACTGACATGAACCAAAATTAATGACCAATGCACTAAAAACATGTAATATACAAATAAATATGCAATAACCGCATATAACTCCAAAACCCCAACATGGAGCAAATTAAACCGAACAAATGTCCCTAAGACTCATCTGAAACAAAACTGAAAGCTCAACAACTCAATAAAAGCCATTATAAGTCAATAAAATGCATTTTACCAAGTTTATGCAAACACATATTCCAAAAGTATGACTAACTCAAAAACCCACCATTAGTTGAGGCAAACCATTTTTCGAAGTACATCATGCATTTATATTTTCAAAATGCCTCGTAACATATTAACTTGCATTTTCCAAACTATTTATAAAACCAAATACATCAAAATGCATTAATGTCAAATAATCTCTATTTGTAGAATAAATCACCAAAAGGATACATTCTTGTGATTTCTTTATCAAAATGTCTAAAGCCCCCAAATATGAGCATTTCTCAAGATTTATAAACTCAATGTACTAAAAATACTGTTGATCCTCTCTCTCAGTGATTTGATGATAATCCCTTTTATTCTTAACGAAGTATTTTTGTTTCTGTCTTTTCAGTTCTAGCGATCTGTATTGAGTCTGTTCAGTGATCGCTGAAGAACTTGTATTGTAAATTCAACCAGCGACATCGATACTTCAAGAAGACAACACTCACACAAAAGAACCTTCAGCCAATGTCGAAGACTGAAACTGAAGATTAGAGACTGGCGAGTACGTGATCTGAAGCGGTATTTAGTGATTACAAGCCTGTCTACATATGTGTGAAGACTGCCTAAGCCTCGGCGAATGCTAAGGAGACCTTCAAGTTATTCTAGCATTCAGCGATCAGATTAAGCTTGCTAAACACGATTGTTGTTGTCTTGTCCTTATACACACAAAGGATAAACCCTTACCCTTTCTAAACATTTGTACAGTTGGAGCCGATTAGTTGACTCTATTACCCACCAACTTTATGAAATGATGTCTGCTTATGAATAGGCTTTTGTACTATTCACTGTAGCAAAGGACAAGCTTTCCCCTTAAGGCTTGACACGCGTTCTAACCCTACCATGTTGCATTTAATGCAACGGGTATAAGTAGATGTGTTATATCTACATGCAGAGATACTTTTAACCTAAACCTTACTCTGAGCTTTCTTGCGCTTAAGTAAAAGAACACACATCTAAGAACAAATACGCTTATCTTCAAGAGCAAGTTAGAATCCCTTTCATTGCATTCTAAACAAGTTCACTCCCAGAAAGAACTTACTTTCTTCTATTTCTTTAACATAAAATCTTTTCTTATTTGCTAAGATTAAGTGTGTAAACTTAAGATTGTTTAGATAGGTTTTTCTTACCTTATCTTTCCGCAAACAGTCTTGTAAAATATGTATTGATCTTCTCTTGTCAATATATATTTTAAATTTGAAAATATTGTGTTTGTATTCATCCCCCATTCTACAAACTGTTATACACATCTTGTAGACCCTAACGGGACCGACAAGTGGTATCAGAGCAGTGTTCTATCTTCTGTAGTTGCTTGGTTGTTTTTCTGCATTACTTTATCTTCTTCTCTAGATAATATTACTGCTTTTAAATGGCTTTGCAAAACACAAACACACACGTTCAAGACAATGGCTCTCTTTCCAAACCTCCCCGATTCATCCGTGACAACTTTAGTCTATGAAATAACCGGATGTCACTCTTTTTGGAAGATGTGGATCATGAAATTCCACACTATATAGAAAATGGACCATATATACCATTTGCTATTTCTCCGGCTGTTCCCAAAACAACTACGACTGCCGCGATTCCTGGACGGCAAATTCCAAAGCTCCCTCATCAGTAGAGTGATGAAGACAATAAAAAAATAGCTATAGACACTCGTGCTAGGTCTATAATAGCTATATTTCTTCCTGACGAGGTTTATCATTCAGTGATGAAGCTCAGGACTTCTAAATCCATGTGGGACACTCTTTGTATTCAATATGAAGGAACCTCTCAGGTTCAAGAATCTAGGAAGATTAATTTAGTAAGGCAATATGAAAGCTTTCTCTGTGGAAAGACTGAAACGCTGTCTGAAGTACATCAACGCTTTAATTGTCTTCTTATTGATCTAAGGACTGTAGGTAGGGAATATTCCAACTTTGAAACTTTAACTAAGTTTCTGGAATGTCTTCCTGAATCTTGGGACACCTTTTCCATGTGTCTTAAGATGTCAAGTGACATGTCCTCTCTTTCTCTCTCTACTCTCTACGGGATTCTGCTCAATCATGAGCAATCTCGTCAGCTGAAAAGGAATCTAGTGAAAGATTCCAGAGAAATGAAAAGCTCTCCGTTAGCTTTGATCTCTGAAGATTCTTCAGCTGAAACCCCTTCTTCTTCTTCTTCTTCTTCTTCTTCTTCTTCATCTCTTCCTCCTGTTGTAATTACAGAGTTAGACTCTACTAACTCTGAGGATATACTCTTGTAGATTTTGATGAATCCCTGGCGCTTTTGACTAAATCTTTTAGGAGATTCGCCAGCAAGAGCAACAACCGCAGATCTCCTTTGCTGACCATTAAGGAAAAGCCAAAGTCTGACAAGATAGACAAGGCTTCAGCAATCTGCTACAATTGTCACCGCACTGGACATTTTGCAGGTGAATACAGATCAAAGAAAGTTGCGACGCCCTCTTCCAAAACCCTATCCTCCTTCAGGTCCAAGGGTGACAAATACTTGAAACTGAATGAGAAGTATAAGAAGATGAAGAATCACCAGTGAAAGGCCAAAGGTCTTATCGCTGAAGAGCATGATTCGGCTGATTCATCTGATGAATCATTTTCTGATGAGGAAGATACAACCTACCTTTGCTTGATGGCCAAGGATGTCAGCGAAGAAACTTCAG